CACAAGAAGTTTCAACACAGAAGTGGCAATGATCTACTTCTCTGCTCAAGACCCTAATGGCCCCTCATTTCCAGGGTACAAGGCCAGTCTTTTAGGATGGCCTACAGATCCACACAGTCTCCCTGCTACCCCTGGGACTCATCTCTGCTGCTCTGCCCCACTTTTTCCTCGCCAGCTCTTAGGCCTCCTTGCTTCTCCTTAAACAAGCCAGCATGCTGCTACCGTAGTCTTTGGTCTTGGTATTTTCTGCCTCAGTGCTCTTCCCTGAGACCCACCTGGGCTCACTCGTGATTCTTTTCAATGCTTTGCTTGATTTTTCTTCAAAATGAGGCCTATCCTGACCTCATTTAAAAAATTTCAGCTCACTCCTTCTCCTGAACCTACCCTTCACCCTGTTCTTTCTCTTCTAGTGTATTATATAAATTACTTATTATGTTTATGATTGTTCTTCTCCACATAAGTTCTACAAAAGCAGATTTTCTATTTGCTCAGAAATATCTTAAAAACTCGGAATAATACCTGGCACATACACAGAAGCAGTCCATACATAGTTGCTGAATTTCAAAATAGCTAAAAACAGAGGGATGGCTAACTAAAGCCATTCTAATGGGACAGCTTCCTTCTGAACTGCTTCAACCCTTTGCAACCAAGTATTTACCTGGGGATGGAGATGGGATGAGGGTTGTGGCCACGCATTCTGAGAAGAGGAAGCAGGGACATCTTTTCTCTTGGAACCAGAGTCCTTTTAGAGTTTTGGCATTTAGGAATGACTGACATATGTGTTGTCAAGCCTAGCATAGAGACAGCTCAATAGATACTTTTTGACTTGAAGAGAGAACAGCAAATGGCTTTTATCCTGGCTGCACTGGGCTCCCAGCAAGAATCTGAGAAGCGAAAGAATTTGGTCTCAATGGTCATCTGAACAGATGACAGGTCATTAGTCACAGAAACCAACATCAATGGCCTGGACCTACACATTTTGCAAAATTCTTCTATCTTCTGTGGCCACCACCTGTTCCCTCCTGTCCATCAGAGCAGAACTACTTCTTCACCATCACCACCTCTGGGCTGCTACATCAGAAGCAGTGGCTTCTCCCATTGGGTCTTAGGAAGTCATAAGTCCAGGTATATGGCTGGTAAGGAGTCTGGTTATTATGGCCTACATTATCTAACAGAGTTTGCTAACTTAGAAAATTCTCATCAGAACTGATGAGAATAACTTTACATGGGGTTAACAATTGTTAGGTTAAACCCATAACACATTTAATACTTAATAATAGCTTTAGTATAACTTTTTCCCCTTCTAGTTTATTTCCTCAAAGGAGTAAAGATAATATCCTATGTATGATTCTACTACACAGGCAAACAAACACCTGAATTTCTTTCTCCTTTTCTTAGAGAAAGATAGTTAAAACATTGAAAAATTTCCAAAATAAACTATCCTTTGATTATCTAAGCCAATGGGTTCAAATATAAGATTCATATGGGGAAGTAAAAACACATTTGAGGCCCTATCCCAGAAACTGGTTTAATAGATATTTAGGGATCAGCACAAATCTATACTTTTAGAAGCATTTTAGGTGATTTTGATGAGGAGTTTCACAGACCCCAATGGCAAACATTGATACACACTCTGGACGAAAGGTAGAAGGATGGGTGAAAATAATGGAGGCTAAACAGAATTTAAAGTGTTTATCCATTATGTAATAAGATAACAAAGCAGTGGCAAGGCAGACCCTGACCTATGCCAAGGCAATGAACTCCCGTCTGGGAATTATTGAATGTACTTAATGAGTACATAGACTGCTGAAAGTACAGGTAGTCACTGGGGGAGGAATGGATTTTATGAAATTCAATGTGCTCCCTCTATTGAAAGACAGTGATACTAAATATATCACGTATGAAATGATTTAACTTGCATGTAAAAAATAAATGAAAGCTCATGAAATCTTCAGATATTTGCAATTATAGCAAGTCTGAGAAAAATGAATCTTGGAAAGACCAACAACTTCATTTTCCACAATTATGGGAACTGGCTGTGGGTATTACCCAAAAACCTGTCTACCCATGGGTCAATTTTGTTAATTAATCTGTTTTAGGCACTTTTAATAATGACTTACTTTTACATTTCCCAGTGGTTTCCTTTATAAGTAAAGTCTATTCAATTTAATTATTCCAGAGAGTTGGGCTGGGAAAGATTAGTCTAGAAGACATTCTAAAATAATCATAAAAAAACTCATTCAGTGAAATGTGATTATCACCATAATAATAATGATGACTGGGGTTCTGTGTAGCTCAGTGGTAGAGCTCTTGCCTAGTGTGTGTAAGGCCCCGGGTTTGATCCTCTGCACCACAATGATGACCGACTACATAGCAATGTAGAAAGATGTTTGGCAGAAAAGTTTATACTCAAAATTACATATTTATTGATTATAATTATGAAAAACCATAGGCTATGAAGACACTTGTGATTACCTGGGGTACTGTAGAGAGACAGACTTAGTTATCCAGCAAGGCTCACAATGAGTCAGCATCTGAGTACTACCGGCTGCTCCAGAGAGGGGAGGCAAATATTACTGTCAATTGCTCCACAAGAGACTCCAAAGCAAGGATTCTCTCTTCCTATCCTCAGGAGACTAATGCCACACGCACAAATCCATTAATCTATACCTTGATAATTCTGCTTGGGTAGGTGTTCTCTTTCTGTAAGTTTCATTTTCACAATTTAAAAAGCCAGTACATGAATAAAATTTAAAATGGTGTATGGTCTTCTCGTACCCTTTGTTGTCTTTCAGAGGTGCACACATTCTGAAAACCACTTCAAGAAAACACTGCTATTTACTCTTGGGCTAATCACTAAACTCTGTAAAATATGTATTTATGTTTATGTATGAATAAATATATCCTCATCTGTAAAACAGGGATGCTATGAGCTTTGCCTTCATCAAATATGACAAAAACCATGCAGGTTGGGAAAACCATAAGATGTACAGCCAAATAGTCACGAGTTCTTATTCTGGCTCTAAAATTTATTAGTTGTGTGACCTTGGCACATTCTTGAACTTTCTCAGAGACTCAAGTATGAAGTGGACAACATCTACTTTAAAGGGTATATGCATGTATAACACCTACGTGCCTGATGCACAACAGGTACTCAGTAAGTGGAAAGTATTACCCTAACAGTATTTTGTGAAGGAAGATAAAGTCATGAGAACTGGCATGAACAGAACAGCCCTGGGAGTACAAAAGTACAAGACAGGTTTGCAGAGGAGTGAGAAGCAGGGCAAGGCTGGAGGATGAGTTTTCTGGAGAAAATGAGTCTGGTTTTTTTATTTTTAAGAATATGGCTGGGTGGGTGGTGTGCACCTATAGTTCTAGATATTTGGAAGGCTAAAATCTGGAGGATTTCCATACAAAGCCAGCCCCGGCAAATAGTTTGAGACCCCCATCTCCAAAATAACCAGAGCAAAATGGACTGGAGGTGTGGCTAGGAGTGGTAAAGCACTTGCCTAGCAAGCACAAGGCCCTGAGAGCAAACTTCAGTCCCACCAAAAAGAAAAACAAACATGGGATGTTACCAAAGGCATTCTGAGAAAAAGATAAAGCAAGATCTATTTATTTATTTTTGGTGGTACTGGGGTTTGAACTCAGGGTGATGAAAATTAAACTTTACTACCATAGAAGAACTAGAAGTACGTTTCTAAGAAAAGAACCATATGTCCTCCTCCCTGGGAAGTGTGCTGAGTGCCTCCCAGCATTCTCAGGGAGGAAATGCATCATGGCCCTCCCAGTTCTTAATTCTTTTACAAAAGCAAGTTCACCCACTCCATCCTTCCCACTGTGCTCACAGCAGTGCTGGGCAGACAGGTGCATGCAATGAGGATGCCTATGAATGTGAAGCCTAGAATAAGCTTCGTCTTTGTGATGACAGAAGACAACACAGGCTCAGTAAGTTCTTCTGGACCCGTAATTTCAACCACAGAGATAAACATGATAAACATCTCTCTTGAAACCCTGCAGTGTGGTAAAATTCCTGGAACCAGCTGTTTGGGACTTCCCATTTTCAAGGTTTCAACCTCTACACTAGGCAAGTGCTTTTCCACTGAGTGCTCTTTGCTTTAGTTATTTTTCACACAGGGTCTCAGTTTTTTTGGTCAGGGCTGGCCTTGACCATAAATGATACTTTTACATCAGTGTCCTGTATAGTTGGAATTACAGATGTACACCACCACACCTGGCCACAACGCAAAAATCTATGCTTCAGTAAAATCACTGATTGGAAATGTGAAAGACGGGATGGAGGGAGAGAAGTCAGAAGCAGGATAACCATTTGATGAGCAGGCCAGAGGGCAGGAAATTGAGCAAGAGCAATGGGGATGAGGCAGAGAGGTCTGAGAGACCTGCAGGAGGCTGTTACAACAGTCCCATAAATAATGGAAAAACCCAGCACAGCAAGGGAGAAAAGGAGTAAGGATGACAAAGCAAGAAACATTCAGGTGATTTTCATGAATAAAGCTCCAGGTGGATCTAGGGGAATGTTAATTCCAATATTCAAGAACAAAGGGGCTGGATGTGTGGCTCAAGTGGTAGAGTGCCTGCCTACTAAGCACAAGGCCTTGAGTTCAAACCCCAGTAGTGCAAAAAAAACCCCATAATATTAATAAATAATGTCCAATAGGCAGATCCCAGGAGAGAGACCTGGGATTCTTCCATACATTTGAAGTAACCACCATAGAGATGAGAACTGAAATTAAGGCATCAAGATGAGAATCCAGAAAGAGGTTAAATCTTCCAAAATAACAAATGATAGGAAAAAGCCCTAATAAACATAACATTTTATGAAATGTATTTACACAGACACTAAAAAGAGAGGATAGAGGTTGGCTAAATAAAGCCTTTATTGTCAATGGACTTGAAGAGGAATAATATGGTATGAATGTGAGAACAGTATCTGCAAAAATTTTATTAAATTAAGTTTGTGATTTTTACATTTAACATATAGACATAAAAGCTAATAAAATCATTATGTTACTTCAGGTAGAAAACTTCAATACTTCAAAACAATGTCCTAAATTTCTACTGTAAACCAAATCTTTTCATTTTATATCAATAAATGTCCAAACGAGACAAACTCAAAAATTTTGGTATTTATTTATACATTGCATATTTCAAAAAGTTTGACAACAATGACTTTTCAACAGGAAGTCAGCAAATGCTCACACCTGTCTGCCACTAGCACTTAAGAGAAAGGGAGTCCTGAAGTTCCTTAGAGGTTGAAATCTTGATGGCAGAACTTCAGATATTCCAATCACTTGCCAAGGAAGTGCCATACATGCTCTGTGTTTAAAATGAGGGAAGAAGGGTGTCAGGAGAGAGGTGAAGTAGAAGAGGAGGAGGACATGAAGGATGAGACAAATTTAACTGAGGCCTTTAGGAAGCATTTAGTTTAGGCAGATAAAAAGAGTCTTAACCTTAGGATGTCACACTTCTTCATTTAAAACTGCATCCTTCTAAATTCTTATCTAAGTTCTCTCAGTTAGCATAAACCTTTTATAAAGCTACAGTAAGAATACTAGTGCCTTCCCACTTTTTTTAATCTCTAGTAAACAATACAGAAGATAGTACCATAGCTACATATGAAAGGTCTAGAAAAATCTTTCAGTGTAAAATTTGACTGTCCATCAAGTACTGAAAATGAGGTAGAATACAGCTTGCTTTCCCATGACATCATGTCTAGGCCTCTACTCCTTTCTAGACGTGTTACAACTGGACTTACAGTAAATAGTTCTAATTTTCCTGCTAAATTTGTAAGTTGAATATTATTAAGCCTTGCAATATTTTAAAAGACAAATGTTATATACATTTGCTTGCATTTTGAAGTTTTTAACCATAGAACAGCTTTACTTGTTTATCAAAACAGCTTAAATAATGGTAACTAAGAACATGAAAGTTCTTTTCTACCCTACTATAAATTTTAAGATCTTCAGTTAAAATTCCTTAAAATTGTGTGAGAAAATGAAGAAAGCCTTCCAGATTTGAGATTGAACCCAGAGTCTCACTTAAGTTAGGCAGGCACTCTACCAATTGAGCCACGCCTCCAGTCTTTTTGTTAAGTTTATTTTAGAGACAGGGTCTCCCTAATTTTGCTGGGGCTGGCCTTGAACTAAGATTCTCCTGCTTCTGCTTTCTGAGTAGCTGGAAATAGGAGGTATACATTATCATGTCTACCTTGGAGTCTTTTAAGATTTATCAGAACTAGCTAGAATTTTCCATTACTTCACCCCCATACCAAAGGTTACTGTAATAAAATCATTTTCTATCCTAAAAGTAATAAATGAATTCCTCCTCATTTTTTGAAATTAGGAAATATATTTCATATAAAAATTCTAATGATATTCAAAATATATTTTACTTAATTTATATAACTTTTTAATTTTAGTTTTTTTGTTTCCATGACTGTAAACAAATTTATACACCTTGCCCCTTAAGAACCAAAGTATACTATACCTTCTACATTACTTTCTTTATTCAGTGAAGATGTTATGACCTGAAAAAAAAGGGAAAGAATCTCTGTTACATTTATATTTGTATGTGGAAAGTGAACCCAGAATTTTTTTTCATGAAATTATACAGCAATGTTGACACACAATAGTTCTCTAACCTGAAAAAAAGAGTAAATATTCCTCTTTGTCTTTTATTATCATTACTCATTCTTTCTGATAAACAAACCACAGATGTAGAGTCAGGTAAAAGCAAACTTGAAAATACTTTCTAACAATAACCCATGGAACTACAAAGGCCTTGGAGCTGAGAATGTGAAGAGTTTTCTTGGAGTTGCTTCCATGACTGAAGTCTTAAGAATGAAAAATCAAACATGCACATGCAAATACATGTGTATGCATGTGTATGGAGACAACCACATACATAATTTAGCTGTATTGCAGAGATTTTACATTTTTTTCTATTTTGATGGGTAGGCCAAAATTCTTAGACTAGAAGAAATAAAATCTATGGTAGATATATAGTTTTTCCCTAACCAAAACCAAAACATTTTTTAATGTTTTTGTTGGGGACCCACAAAGAAGGCACAAAGCCTATATATTTAAGTTTATTGAGTCATAAGAATGAACATCTATGTAACCACTTCCCAAGTCAAGAAATGGGATATGCCAGGCCACTCCCCACTTATAGCCTCTTCCTTCCTTAATTATAACCCTATACAGATTTTATAATATAACTTTTTTTACATTTCAGATTTAATCATTAACTTCTAATTCTCTGGATTTGTCCATCCAAAATATAAAAGACCTGCCTCTGTGATGTCTAGGGAAGAAATAAAAATGGAAGACCACATACTATACACCTGAACATTTAAGTTACAATAAATCAAGCTAACAAAGTGAATAATAAACTACAAAACATGTCCCATCCAACTATTTTGGTACTTATTATCTTTTTATGACTTGAGAGCTTTCATTTAGAACTCCAGATGCCTCAGACACATGTGCCTGAACATGCTGGAATAAGAGGCCCAGGACCCTGGTTCTGTCCCATTTCTCTTCCTATACCAGATTTCTTTTCCTAATATAGGTAGAAAATCCAGTCCACACACCTACGCTTTCCCAACAGCCACTCCCTCACTGGCCCCTGCAGCAGTAATGGTGGACACACAGTCTATGCAGTCAAGAGTGTGAGAAATGCATGACCTGATTACCATAAGGCCTTGGAAACATGCCTGAAGCTGTCCGGGAAAGTAATTCCAGGGGTTGGGTAGCCAAAGCATGTCTAGAATGGGGTCATGGCTATTGCTGAGTCCATAACTTTGGCCCCCTGGTCTTTTTTCCTTGTGGAAAGGATGTACCTTGATGAAGATCAAAGTGGACCCTCTGAAAAGGGACAAGAGACAGAGCCCTCCTTGTTTAGGGTTAAGGTCAGTACTGAACAGGAACTCAACAAAAATATTATTCTTCACAACAGCCAATTTTGTAGGTTAACTTGAAGTGAGTTACTAGAACTGATTAACATTTACCCTAGTGAACTTTGGGGTAAAGCCAATTGCTTTCCATAATATGGGTAGGCTTCATCCTATCAGATAAAGCCTGACTAGAGGAAAAAAGACTGGTTTTTGCCAACAAGTAGAGATTCTCCATAGGTTTCTTGCAGACTTCATCTGCACAACTACTGGCTCTCTGGGTGTCTAGGTTGTTAGCATTCACACTGGAACTTTATCATCTGAAGATTTTGGACTTGCCAAGCCTCCATAATTCCATGAGCCAATTCCTTAAAATCAATCTTTTTACTGAACTCAGGGCCTTGTGCATAAGCACACTCTTACCACTGAGCTGCTTCCTCAGCCATTTTCAAGCTTTTGATTCTTCTGTAGTAACACTTAGCTTAAAACACAAACATACTGTACAACTGTACAAAATATCTTCTTTAATATATTCTTTTCTATAAACTTTCCATTTTTAATTTTTTTCATTTATTTCTACTCTATATTTTTTTGTTGAAAACTAAGAAACAACATGTTCATTAGTTTAGGATTACACAGGACTAGGATCATCAATATCGCTGTCTTCTGCCTCCACGCTGGAAGGTCTTCAGGAGCAATATGGAGCTTCATCTCCCATGACAGCAACATCTTCTTCTGGATCCATCCTGAGGAACCTGCCTCAGGCTCTCCTTGAGATATCACGCTGTTCAGATGTGTCCATGTTAGTTTGCTGGGTTTGTTTCTTTTAAGCACAGACTTGCTTGTAAGTACATAATGCACCATGAAAACGAAAACTTTTGATGTTGGAGTCCATGTTTTTGAACTTTTTAAAGAACTTATTGGGGTTAGCCAAAGCTTCTGTTAAGTCCTTACTGTGAATTTTTCTGTGACTTCTTTTTCTTCTCCTTCAATTTGCCCTTTTCTCTTCTTTAGCTACGTTTTCCTGATCCAGTTCCAACAACCCCTCATTAGTTAATTCTTTAGTGTCTTGGTCTGCTTTGTTTTTTGATAACAGAGTAACTGACAATGGGTAATATATAAAGAAAAAGGTTTATTTGTCTTACCATCCTGGTGACTGTAAAGTCCAAACAGTATGGCAAAGTGTTTTGTGAGGGCTACCTAGCCATGTCACAAAATGATGGAGAAGTGGGCACATGTGGAAAAAGGTCACATGGCAAGAGAACAAGAAGGGACCAGTCTTGGTTTATTATAATATTCTGGTTTTGGGGGACTAATCTAATCTTGAGAGTCTAAACACACTTCCTCTGAGACCAACATTAACCCTTCATGAGGCAAAGTCATGATCTAATCACCTCCCACTAGACCTGCCCCTTAAAGGTCCCACCACCTTTAACTACTATATACTGGGGGAATTAAGCCTTATGAGTAGTTTTGGCAAAGACAAACCCACATTCAAACCACAGCAGTCAGGAACCACTTCAAGGAGGTCCTCAATGTCATCTCATCCATCCCCAAGTTGTTTATCATTCTCTTGGTGATATTAACCCAAGTCCAAGCAAGGTTCTTGATGCAGTTATAGATGCTGCAATCCTTCCAGAACTGCATCAGTGTTTTCTTCAGTTGCAGCAGTCACCAGAAGAAAGGTCCTCCTTAGGTAACAGTCCTTAAAAGTATTAAGGACAACTTTTTAATAAACAACTTGTTTATTCATTGATGAGATAAAAGAGGTGTTATTTGGAGGTAGAAACACCATGTTGATATTGAGATGAAGATTAGCAATAAATGGAGGATATGTGAGAGAATGATCTACAATAAGCAAAATCTCAAGAAGTATGTTATTCTCAAGATAGGATCTCTACAGTCCACTGCACAGCATTTCAAGAGGGAATCCTGAAAGAGGCTCGTTCATGACCTGAGTGATTCATGATTTCTCACTGCTCCGATAGTGTGCTGGCATGTGTGCTTACTAACACGCTTGAAATCTCACTGTGCCAGATCAGAAAAGGTTTCTTTTTCTTTCTTCTCTCTGTCTCCCTCCATTTCTATCTGTCTTTGTCTCTATTTCTCTTTCTTTATTGTAGCATCAGTTTTGACTTCAGCCTCATGCTTACTAGGAAGGAAACCTGCAGTTTCTCCCAAGCAACAGTGATACTCATCCTTAAAATCCTTGAAACCTGGCACTGCCCTGGCTTCCCTACAGATGAAGTTCTCAGGCATGAGATTCCATAACAGGGAGGTTTCATCCATATTGAAGATTGGCTCTGGTGAGTAATTTCCCCCCATAATAACATATCTATTGTCTCCAAAAATTCTTCAGCTACCATCACATCAGTACTTATCATTTAGTTCCACATTATGTAATGAATAATAATTACTGAATTGTTTCAACCACCCATAGCTAGCAGCAAATTAAACACTACAGTTGGGTCCAGGCCCTTCTTCAATTCAGGTCCTTAAAATTTTTCCCATTTTTGATATGGGCCATTCTCAAATTCTTGTTAGTCTTGTCACCTTCAATGACACAGATCCTTTAACAGCTTCCATCACTTTGTTCTTGTTCTTTTAAGACTTTAGCTGTGGTTGAATGGGACATGTCTGACTAGCAAGTAATAACCACTGGTTTACCAACTTGGCAATTCTTGGTTACCTTTAATTTCATTCCTTGGTCAATCCACTTAATGTGGACTCTTACTGGACCATCATCATATGTGTGATCTGTTGATCATAATGATGACATGACTGCATACATATCCTATTGTTTCTGTTCCTCTGGAGAAACCCAAGTAATACATTCCCCCAAATCATAAACGGAACCCAACAGAATTAAAAATTTTTCCTTTATGTCAAAAGGATGATATAACCATGTAAATAAAAAAGACTCTTTGCAGGTCCAGAGTTGGGGCTCAGGTGGCAGAATGCTTGCCTTGCAAGTATGAGGCCCCGAGTTCAAACCCCAGCACCATAAAAAAAAGGTGGATGGGAGAAGGAAGAAGAGAATTCTATTCAGTTTCTTCCCATAGAAAAAATGCTTAATCATGATTGCTTATGAGGGAGGTATAACAAATGTGAGTGTTAACAGTGACACAGCAACATAAAAATTCTACTCACTGAGATTAGAATTTGGAATCTGGCAGATCTATTTATCTAAATAGACTATAGAATAACCTTCTTATTCTTTGAAACTGTTATACTTTATAAATTGTACAGGACACTTATCAAATAAAGTTTGTTGAAAATTAGTTGGTTACCAGCAGCTGCCAAACATTTTAGAGGAGGAAAATAGAAAAAAAAAATAGAGTAATTGAGCAACTTCTTATTAACTTTAAAAGCATTATAAAAAAGAAATATGCAAGTTACTCTAAAACATTTATCATTACTTTTTTCTTTTTTGGCAGTACTGGAGTTTGAATTCAAGGCCTAACACTTGAACCATGCTTCCAGTTCTTTTTGCTTTAGTTATCTTTTAGATAGGGTCTTGTGTTTTTGCCCAGGCTGGTCTTGGACTGTGATCCTCCTACCTATGGCCTCCTGAATAGCTTGTTGAGATGGGGGTCTTCTTAATTTTTTTCCCCAGATGACCTTGAACTGCAAATGCCCTAACTATTGCCTCCCATATAGCTGGGATTATAAGCATGAGCCACCATGCCTGGCCCATTATATATTATTTTAAAAATAATTTCCAAAATGTTTTTATTTCTTCATTCTTAGAAAATATTTCTAGATTGGTAGAATATATTTGGAACATACAAAGCCTTATTTAAAAGAAAACAATCCTGGATAAATCCAACACTCAGAGATAGTATTTGGAGATTTTTCATTTATTTTTAATTTGTTCCACTTTTGCTACTGTGACTCTGATTGGAAGTCTTTTTTTTTTTTTTGGAATATCATTTTCATATTAAATGAGAGAATGATACTTAAATTTGAAAACAGCAACAGTAAGAGTGGGTTCATGAAAAACATCAAGTATTAAACATTTCACCTATAGTCAATAATTTCCTGGGTTTTACTTTTTTTCTGTTCAAATCCTAAACCTTGGTATCTATGAATATGACCTTATCTGAAAATAGGGCCAATGTAGATGTAATCAAATTAAGATGAGAACATTACTGAGTAGGGTGAGTCCTAATCCAAAATGACTTGTTTCCTTATAAGGAGAGAAAAAAAAAAAAAAGATAGGAAAACATGGAACCCAGACATACACACCGTTCCCTATAAATGTTCTGAACCTTGCTCCCTGAAATAAGCCTCCAATTGCTGCTCATAAAGTTCTAAAGTACTGGGAACCAGCCTCATCTTTTGGTTATAAAATTAGCTATAGGTTAAAAAACTTCATGTGATAATATATATGACTGGGTGGTCCTGAGGCTGAACTGTTGCAGTACAACAGTCCTGCTGCATTGGCCACAGGCTACAGCCCACTCAGAGCATGTGCCTCTTATGGCTTCCACGTGTGCTAGGAGCTAACCGACAAAACTTGTTTTTAACAATCATACCTGTAATGCTTATACGTAATTCAAACATCTATATATGCATAAACAAAACCCAATAATCTTTTAGACTAGTCCAATACTCCTTCTAAAATCTTCCCCAGATCCTTCTTAAGTACATAACCTAAGTATAATAAATTGTTTCAACAGATGCTTTCCATCTGTTTCCAAAATGGTACTTAATAATATTCATCAATTTGTTGGCTTTTGTTTTCTTAGACATAGTGACAATATTTTCCCTAATCAATCTGTATATATTTCTGGTGGCTACTTAATGATTTTTTTTTGTCTCAATGCTATAATTAATTGTGTTTTGATCAATATATGTTCATCTAATATATGCTTTCTTCATCAGTTCTATTAACCACTCAAAAGTTTAGTGTACTTCTTTTCTGCTAATAGGGCAATTTTCTGACTTACAAATATTTAATGATGAAAACTAGTATATGATCGATCCACTGAGTTAGTAAAAAGGGACTGATTCCTCTAAATTGTGAATTTCTGCTGCAATGTTCTCAGTAAAAAATCATGGAATTGTACCTTCTTTATTATGAAGCTCAACAACATTACCAAACCATGTAATTAAAACTGGATGTTAATGTTTCTGAATTTTAATGTTATTCCTCTAACTCAAGATAATTGTATCCATATCCTGATTATTTTTTCCAAGAGGACTGTTTTCCAACTAGTATGATAGGAAGAAATTAAACATATAAAATACCATACAAACTTTATGTTCCCAATAATTTTGAGATAGGAATCTATTACATTACTAAATAATAAATCCAAAACTAAAAGAAGTGGAACAGTTTTAATCTGAGATTAGTGACTACTTAAGATGAAGATGAAAAGGTTTTTTTTAAAATTTTAAAAATTTTTTCCTTAATAACAAATTGTGTTGCAAACCAAGTTCAGAATAAAATCTGTAGAGATAAAAAAACAGGCAACTTGCAGAAAATAAATAACGCTGTGACCTGTGCTGCTCTGACAGTGTCCCTGCATCTTCCCTTGCTGGTCTTTAGTCCATTTTCACCAATGCCATCAGTGACCTTGTGAAAATCAAACTCAGATCCTATCACCCCTTTGCTCAATACCCTCCAGTGGATCCCTTCCTCGTTCAGAGTAAGAAGCACAATCTTCACAATAGTCTTCACAGGGTCTTTCCTCATTTGCCTCCATTTCCACCCCCAAAACCCAAACATTTCCTATCCATTCTCTTCCTTTCTCCCCACACTGTCAGTACTGCATGAATTATTGGAGTCTCCTTGCCTATTTCCTGAATACCAGGTATCATCCTCTTGCCTTGTGGCCTGTGGGGTTGGAATGCTCTCCCTTCAGATGTTCACTTGGGTCATTCCTTCACCTTCTACAACCCTGGGCTTAGATGGAAACCCTCTTTGCACTGAGGTGCCCTGACCTATTTTTTAACAACTCTAGCTCCCATCCTCCTCCTGGGACTTTATCCCCTATTCCTGCTTATTTTCTATCATAGCATTGATTGTCTGTTGAAACACTCTATGTATTTTCCTTGCATATTAATTTATTATTCAGTTCCCTAACTAAAATGTGCCTTCCACAAGGGCAAAGATTTTTCATCTTTTCTTTAATATTGTATCCCCAGCACAGGTAATTTACCATAGAGCAGGCACTAATTAAATAGCTGATGAATTAGTGGGAAAAACCCCAACAAATTAAAAGCAGCCATAATAATCAAATAACGTTCAGGAACATTTTAGTTGTTCCTATAGTAAAGACTTAAATTCACTATCTTCTAGCTCATAATTAGCTTTAAAAAACCCTTTATAAATGGGGTTTCAAGTCTGAGATTCCTGCTAAACACACTTCATATACTAACATTACTTAATTATCTGAATATTAATTTTCTTATTTAGTGCTCTCCAAATTAAGTGTTTACTAATAAATTTAGTTGCCTCCATGCAGCATCATCACTAAGACATGTAAAATTCCAAGGATCTCTTCTGAACTTGGAGAAAGCTTGTGAGATATGTAAACTAAATGGAAAGAAAAAGCACAGTCTTATTTATTTCATTTTCCTTGAGCCAACGTGCATCTTTAACAAAAGTCAGTCCCAAAGCAGAAACTGGATGACAGATGATTCACGGGAAGAGACCAACACAGGGAGAGAGCAAATGTATGTAAACAACAATCAACTGAATTAAGAAAAAAATAAATTTGATTTGAGAACTAAAAGATTTTAAAAGTTTTTGACTGAAATTCCCTAAATTAAAAAAAATTCACATTGTTTTTTAATTTACGATTCCAAAAGGACTTGGCATATTTCACTGCTAGATATTTCAGAATTTCTGCTAGACTTCCCATGACTTTTACATGATTCAAGGGTGCCTTAAACATTAGCTCCTTACCGATTCAACTAATGATTTTGCTTCCTCTTGAGTGCACTGGAAAGGGCTATCACATACCTGCACATTTGTGCTGGAGAAGAAAAGAGACCATTATTAGTAAACATGACATACAAGGAGCAATTACCAAAAAAAAAAAAAAAAAAAAAAAAACCCAACTCCAAACACTCGATGTTGGCTATAGAATTTCAGCCAATGAACAGGGACTTAGTGAATCTAAATTATGATAACAAAAATTGCTGTACATTCATTTAGGCAGAATTATAAATAAGGAATATTCCAAATATACTCACCAGAGTAAAAAATTTAAAATGATAGACAAATCCCAATAATTTTCTGGTATGTACATAAGTCAATACCACAGCTACATTTCACCTTTAATAAAAATCTGACCTACAGAAGGGAACAATAAGAAATTTTCCTTCTAAATGATAAACATTGAAATTGGCATTGGAAAGATTCTCTTTCTCAGATGAAAGAGGAAACTATATGAAGACAGAAACTAATTTTACAAGTAGAGCAGTTGAGGAAGTCAGAAGAATACCAACTCCTTCCCTGATCAGTAAGGGCTCACAAGCCCACCTCCACCACACAGGTCCTGCTTCCCAGTTACAAAACTGTCCCCTCTACACACATTGAGGCTGAGTTTTAAAAAATTCATTAAAGAAATTGACAGACTAAATGGATATAGGAAGAAATAGCATGGAAGGATATAAAACAAATTAATTTTTTAAATGAAAGGAAAAACTGATTAATGCTGATTATCTCTAAAAGGATATGAACAGGTGAAACACAAACACTTATTGTCCCTTAAATGGACCTTAAGGATAATAAAGACTTATTTCCACAATTGCTTTGTGAATATGTTAGCGTCTGTGATAAGAAGACTTACCGACTTATTTATTTATCTTATGCACTGTATCTGTTGTAATTGACAACAGTGATTATGGTAAGTGGTCTTTTTGGTTTTTATACAGTCATAATGTGGAGCATTATTTTCATTCTTGGCATGAATGAAATTTGGTTTTTTATTTGTTGGTTTGTTTTTTGAAGTGGGGTCTCACTATGTACCCAGGATGGACTCAAATTTGAAATCTTCATGCTTTAGCTTCCTGTGTGCTAGTATTATAGGCAAGTACCATGATACCCAGCTCAGCAGGAATAAAATTTGATGTAAGTTGACACTATCAACTGTAAACTATGCTTTTTGGTATTCTCTTTCCCATAGGTCATCTTTGAAAAAGGTAGGGCCTCATCAATCAGATGTCTCCCTAATGAGAGTAAGTAACAATAATAATAAAAATAAAAAGGACCAGGCCCAAAAATTAGACACCACAAAGTCTTAAGTGTTAGTTCTCTGAAGCACAATATGTGTTAAATATACTAGACCTAATACTTTTAATGTTATAACTCAGCCAAAATGGGTTCCTTATAAATTCTGGGAAAATGAAAGTGAGAAAAGACACAGAATAACCACTTAAATTTGAATTCCAGATAAACTTTTTAGTGTATGTTCCCAGTACTAAAAGGAACACACTTATACTGAAAATATTTTTCTAAAATTCAAATTATAGTGAGTGTCCTGTACTTATCTGTTAAATATGATAACCCTATTTCCAAAGTAATCCCCTACTGCCACAACATAATGAAACCATAAGCAGGCATAGGAAAAGAACAACAGGATTAAAGGTAGCACTGAAAAAATGTTCAAACGTCAAATAATTAAAAAATATTTCCAATAAAATATTATAATTAACCAGTAGAAACCTAGAAAACCAACAGGCTCTGCTATTATTAGTTAATAAAGTCAGAATTTATTTGAGTCATAAAGTATATGATCTAGGTTATAAAAATAGATGCATGTGTATATATGTGTATGTGTGTGTTATTTGTGTATATATAACTTTTAACTCCATCAGGATTTTTTTATACTTTGGATGTGAAAGACATGCTACCAAGAATTTTTTTTTCCTGAATGGCCTTCATGTAAAAAATGCTGATTTAACACATATTTATTGACTAGTTAAAAATATTATATACCACATGCCGGGGACTTTTCTAGATGCTGGGGATAGAATACTGACCCAGGGAGTTACCATCTCCAGGATTCCTTTTAGTTCTTAAACCATGATTAGGGTCTACGGTAGGAGAAGCAGTACAATCACCAAGTGGAGGATAACTAAGATGCTGGTACCTACTATAAACGAGATTAAAAACAACAAAAAAGAATGTGCGTTTTTTTCATAATAAGACACAAACCTTCTTCTAAGTTTATAAATGTCACAGCACTACAAAAATAAATAGGTAAATAAACAAATGAGCAATGTGTGAATGTTACATGGTACATGCACAACTTTGCTGAACAAACTAAGCAGACATGACACGAGAGCAAAGAATCAGCAATATCAAAAATGCTGTGTACAACAAACCCAAATTGCTTTTAGAAACAACAAAAAGATATCTTAATATAGATGGCAGAACAAAATAACTGATGGAATAAAAAAGAAACAGAAATAGATGATTACCTAAAAACAACAGACAGCTACTTAGAGGATGAGATTTATAGGGCCAGTAATACAGAATTTTAGGAAACAACAAATTATTTTCTTCACATTGATCTCAAATCAGACAAAGGCCCATACTCATGAAATTCTCAAAGAAAGTGTCTAGGATATAACTTTTCATTCTAAAGCAACTAGTCAAGAACAAAGGAGAAAGAAAATACAAAGAAGTAAGACTGACAATGATTTTGGACCATGACCTCTAGAGCTTATAGAAGAAAGTGATATTGGAATAAATGCATACAAAGCTAAATAGAACTGGAGCTACCAAAATATAAAATCACTGTTTGTAAGATAAATATACTTTCCTGTGGAAGCCAAAAAAGAAATAATTTCAAGACCTGAAAAAATGGAAAAACTGAATATTTCTTCACTCAGTATGCATGGCTAAACTATCTTCTGTGTCAAGTCCTGTTAACATATGCTAATGTATGAACTGAATAATAGAATATAAACACCCTTAGTTGCACACAGATGTGCACAGCAGTAATAAAAGAGTCCACAAGAAATGAAACTGTAGAGGTGACTGCTATGCTGCTTCTTGAAGAGCAGATATTCATGGAGCAAAGACAGTGGGGCAGGAGGTACAGTACATGAGAATGGAGAAACAGACTTGTAAACATTGTTTAATTATAAATCTTATAATTAAAGGGAGCCACAAAAAGTAGTTTTTCAGCCTAAAAATGACAAAGTCACACATATACTCTTGAAAGATATTTTGGGAATACTATACAGAATATATTAAATAGAATGTTTGCTAATATAAAATTATGAGTAAAGAAATTGTAAGTGGCAGAATTAAAGCTAGAATATACACCTAGAAAGACTTTTGAAAACTAGTCAAAACTTAAAATTTTAGAAGACAGGTGGACCAAAATAAACAATGGTTGGTAAAATAAGCTGGTAAACTTAATAGAGTACATTTCTGATTTTTAAATAATAAGATAGATAAGAAAACTGGTTGAAGAGAGGGTGAGAGGGGTTGAAGTATAACCCCAAACATCAAAAAATTTATTTTTCCCAAAAGAGAGCATAAAGGTTTCTTAGGTAAGAATAGAAATAATGAAATTCTCTGTTAAAAGAACATATGGCTTTCAGAGTATACATTAAGCAGCAGAAATGATTAATGACCACAACAAATCAACCAAGCTATTGGAAGAAAGAGAATCACTCAATGTATCAAAGAAGTTAACAAATGCAGTGCCCTTGGGAACAGAAATGTCTCTACATGGATTAAAAAAATATTCATTGACTTTAAAGTAATACTTAACAATTTACTGCAACAGATGTTTACTGAATGGTTACCACACACACTAGGTATTAGGAACATAGAAATGGATAAGACGTGTTTACTCATCTGCTTTGAGGACCTTACACTGTAGAGAAGGGGATGCTTCATGAACTATGTATTTAATAACTGGTAAATGCAATGATTTCAGATGTATACAAGGAACAAGGAATACAGAGATACTAGCACTAGGCTAGCATGGGGCTAGTATGGGGGCTGTTTGCTGAGATTGTCTAAACTAAGACTTCAAGGACGAACAAGTTAGCCAGTTCAAGAAGTAAGAAGACATAGCAAAGAAAACAAAGTGAGTGAAGGTCAAAAGCAAGGAGAGCATGTTATTTGTAGGAATCACAAAATGGTTTTAAGCTGTTGAAGCAAGAAGTAAGAGACAAGTAAGTGGTAGAAAATGAGGCTAGACAGGTAATAGGCAAATCTTGGAAGGCTTTTTTTTTTTTTTGCTGCTCTATGAGAGGAAGTTTAGGTATTACTGTTTTGTTTTGGTTTGGTTTGGTTTTTTTAGATAATAAAGAAAATCTATTGTTTTATGCTACAAGAGGTCCAGAGCCAGGGAGGTTCCACATTTGGTTATTTTAGACGCTCAGTGACACCAAAGATATAGATTCTTTCCATCTGTCATTTTGCATTTTCTTTTTTTTTAATTTTTATTTTATTCATATGTGCATACATTGTTTGGGTCATTTCTCCCCCCTTTTCCCCACCCCCTCCCTTATCCCTCGCTACTGGGCAGAAACTATTCTGCCCTTATCTCTAATTTTGTTGAATAGAGAGTATAAGCAATAATAGGAAGGACCAAGGGTTTTTGCTAGTTGAGATAAGGAGTTGAGATACAGGGAGTTGACTCACATTGATTTTCTGTGCATGTGTGTTACCTTCTAAGTTAATTCTTCTCGAACTACCCTTTTCTCTCGTTCCTGGTCCCCTTCTCCTATTGGCCTCAGTTGCTTTAAATACCTGCTTTAGTTTCTCTGCGTTGAGGGCAACAAATGCTATCTAGTTTTTTAGGTGTCTTACCTATCCTACCTTCCTTGTGTGCTCTCGCTTTATCATGTGATCAAATTCCAATCCCGTTGTTGTGTTTGCCCTTGATCTATGCATATGAGGGAGAACATATGATTTTTGGTCATTTGGGCCAGGCTAACCTCACTCAGAATGATGTTCTCCAATTCCATCCATTTACCAGCGAATGATAACATTTCGTTCTTCTTCATGGCTGCATAAAATCCATTGTATATAGATACCACATTTTCTTAATCCATCTGTCAGTGGTGGGGCATCTTGGCTGTTTCCATAACTTGGCTATTGTGAATAGTGCCGCAATAAACATGGGTGTGCAGGTGCCTCTGGAGTAAGCTGTGTCACAGTCTTTTGGGTATATCCCCAAGAGTGGTATTGCTGGATCAAATGGTAGATCAATGTCTAGCTTTTTAAGTAGCCTCCAAATTTTTTTCCAGAGTGGTTGTACTAGTTTACATTCCTACCAACAGTGTATGAGGGTTCCTTTTTCCCAGCATCCTTGCCAACAACAGTTGTTGGTGGTGTTGCTGATGATGGCTATTCTAACAGGGGTGAGGTGGAATCTTAGTGTGGTTTTAATTTGCATTTCCTTTATTGCTAGAGATGGTGAGCATTTTTTCATGTGTTTTTTGGCCATTTGAATTTCTTCTTTTGAGAAAGTTCTGTTTAGTTCACTTGCCCATTTCTTTATTGGTTCATTAGTTTTGGGAGAATTTAGTTTTTTAAGTTCCCTATATATTCCGATTATCAGTCCTTTGTCTGATGTGTAGCTGGCAAATATTTTCTCCCACTCTGTGGGTGTTCTCTTCAGTTTAGAGACCATTTCTTTTGATGAACAGAAGCTTTTCAGTTTTATGAAGTCCCATTTATCCATGCTATCTCTTAGTTGCTGAGCTGCTGGGGTTCCATTGAGAAAGGTCTTGCCTACTCTTCCTACTCTTTCCTGTACCAACTTTAGAATTTGGGGTCTGATATTAAGATCCTTAATGCATTTTGAGTTAATATTGGTATAGGGTGATATACATGGATCTCGTTTCCATTTTTTGCAGACTGCTAACCAGTTTTCCCAGCAGTTTTTGTTGAAGAGGCTGCTATTTCTCCATCGTATATTTTTAGCTCCTTTGTCAAAGACAAGTTGGTTATAGTTGTGTGGCTTCATATCTGGGTCCTCTATTCTGTTCCATTGGTCTTCAAGTCTGTTTTTGTGCCAGTACCATGCTGTTTTGGTATTTGTTCTTAAGCAGAGAAGCCCATCAGGGAGCTTTAGAAACGTACTTGCTTAGACCCTAATCCCAAGAGATCCTAATACACCAGTGTTAAAGAAAGGGACAATGCGTCCAAATTTTCTAACACTGTCCCCTCTTGCTATGTGATCTTTTGCATGTGTTCCTACCATGTGAAGCCACCTGCCGCAAGATACTCACCACAGCTAAACTGATGCTGGCGCCATGTTCTTAGACCTCCAAAACTGAGCCAAATAAACTTCTTTTCTTGACACAGTATCAAGTCTCATATATTTTGTTAGAGCAACACAAAAGAGACTAAAACAGCTATTAAGAGAGTAGGCTAGGAATCTGGGTTTCAATGCCGACTCCAATATGCACTGTATAAACATAAATTTACTTAAATCTCATGTGGCCTCAATTTTCTCATGTGTAAATGGAGACAGTAACAATACATATTTGACAGGGCTCTTGTAAATATTTATGAAAAGACACATGTAAAACACTCAAACCTTGGAACATACTATAGAGTTCATAAATGCCAACTCTTATTGTTGATGCAATCCTTATTATTGCTTACAGGGGCTATAGCAAAATGACTTCAGAGCTTAGAAATAAAATTACTTTCAGAGTAAAGATAATTAGAATCAGACCAGAAGGAAAGAGAAACTGGGAAAAAACTGTGAGAAACATTTGCGTCCCACTGGGCACTGTATGAACTCTTTAAAAAGCATGATTAGGAAGAAGATAAGTGAGACAGCAGGCAGCAAGCTGTCTGTTGTTGAGTGAGCTGCTTCTGAATTTCTCCTGATTCGGAGAAGGGGGAAGGACGGTAGGGAGCTCTCCTCTCCAGGATGGCAATGCACGAGTCAGCTGTACAACTTTGTCAGTTGTATTTCATATTTTAAGTAGTAAATTATGATGAAAGGAGTATGTGGCAAGAGAAGTGTTATGGTGAACATTCTGTAGGCTTGAAAACTACAGAGGCTGTAAACAACAGTAAGGCTCTAGAAGTCTCCATCAAGGTAAATTGCCAGGAGTCAAATTAGATGTGGGTAACATAACTGGAAAAGATTTGGAAAAAAGAATACTAGAAACCCGCAAGGGTTTTTAAGTTGTAAGGAACTTAAGGTTTACAGGATCTTTATTTTCTATATTATGTTAACATATGTAGAGAAAATCTACATGGGATCTATTTAGCAAATATTTTAGCACCCTCCATCCAAAGACTGGTAAATAAATATATACTTAAATGTTTTAAATTAAAATAAAATGTTTGAATTATGTATGTTACTGTTATTTGATTCCTCTTAATCAGCTACTAATCCAGATCATGTTGGATAAGATGTTTACTGTTCTTATTAAGAAATGCTGTGGTAACTGTAAGGTAAATAACCACATATTTGCATTTTGAAAAATCGATATTTTTAACTCTATCTTTGCACATAACACAATGTATTACAATTAAATGTTTGTTTACTTGTAGATATCTTGCTAAAAATATAAATCCGTTGAAACTTCCATGTCAAGTCCTAACCTCATTGCGTAAGTGCCCAGCAATCAGTACACCCACGGAATAGATGCTTCACATTTTTTTTTGAATGAAAAATAATTAAAATTACTTCTTAAAAAAATCTGAGATCTGGGCAGTATCAGGTGGCAGTCTAGTACTAACTAATAATATTATTACTTACATAGAAAAGACAAATTCTTACCAATTTATAGCCCCTCCATCACACTTCTTCATGAGCAATGCTTTCCAACACTCATGAGCATGTTTAATAACTTCAAGAGCAAAAGCCTGCTTCCAACAAAAAAAGAAAAGACACATCAGTCACACTGCTATACCAACACAGAACTAATCTCACCATTACAGTTCGTTGTTAAGAGCAGAAGCACAGCAGTCAGGCTCACTTGAGTATAAAACCTGGCTTCTAATTTACCACAGGTATGACTTTGGACAGGTACGTAGCTTCACTAAGCCTCAATTTCTTCACCAGCAAAACAGGATATGGGAATAATATACCTCAGAGGTTAGCAAACTAGGACATGTGGATCACATGTGGCCTGCCACCAGTTTTTAGCCTATGGCTATTTTAATGCTACAAATGGCAGAGTTCAGTAGCTGTCACAAAACCAAATGATCAGTAAAGTCTAAAAATTTACTGTATGATCCTACAGAGAAATAGTTTGCCAATTTCTGATCTAAACCGCAGGGTTGTTCAAATAAATAAGATGCTTAGCTGAGTTCCCAACATGTAAGCATGCATACATTCAGTTCACCATCATTGCAAATGCAGTCTAATAGAAATTCTGGACTATTCACCATCTAAAAACAGTAAAGCTTCTTAGCATTTTCCAAACTTTTTCTTAGTAGTAACTCTTAAGATGCCTAAAAATATATAATAATGTATATATTTTAAATATATAACAAATATATATAATAAAATAAATATAATATATAAAATAAATATAGTATATAAAATAAATAATAGAGGCTGGTAGAGTGGCTCAAGTGGTAGAGAACCTGCCTTGCAAGCATGAAGCCCTGAGTTCAAACCCTGGTACCACAGAAAAAAAAAAGTCATAGGTTCTGAGATGTGATAATCATGGGAAATTTAAACTTTGAAATAAAAATTCTGACTGATATACAGGAGAATGGTTTGCTCTCAATGAGGCAGTGTTGAGAGGTCTTGCTTAAGACAAAGGCTAAGAAATACAATTTACTATCTGGGTAATTCAAGGAAAAAATTCTAGCCAAATTTATTCAATGAGTTGTGGAAGCAATTCTGGTACTGGCTTAAAGGAGCAAGCAGGAAAGCCCTCGTGTAAAAAGCGAAAGCTGTCTTTCAACCGTGTTAAGAGACATGATTAAGTTTTCTTGAGTTTGGCTAAATATTTTAAACAGCAGTGGTAAACAGTGATGTATAGAAAGATTATTTTCTAAAGCAGTTGTAAAAATGGCTTAGTCTTCATACAGAAAAGGATTCATTTTTGCCAAAAAACAAACAAAACACAAAGGATATCTCACTCCTCATAAAGGAGACTAAGCCTAAGACAACAAAGGGCCACAAACATATTTACATGTTTGAAATTTGTATTATTTCAGACAAAAATATAACGTGTATTTTTAGGAAAAAAATAGAAATAACATATAAATCTCCAAGATTTCATTTTGAAAAGAATCTAGTATCAAACAAATTTATGTTTACATTGCATAATTCTAAACAAAGCCTTCAAGATACTAACGGCTCTTTTAAAGTGCCTTTCAAAAAACACTAGGTTCAGCAATCAATTCTACAGCAAAATTCTTACTGTTATATTTTAAGATTTCATTATTGTGCTACATTTCACTTGTAAAACATACTTTACTTACTAGTACCCACTTAGAAGTTGTTTGAGAATGTACAATTTACTCAGTGCAATAACTTTTAAAAAGATATCCTATGTTTTAGACTAACTTCTTGACATGTTTTCTCCATTTGTGTTACATTGGAAACACTTTATGGTAACTGTGGCAATTCTAATAGAAAAATCCTATGACAGTAAGATACTTCAAGTGTTTTCTTAACTGTTCAGCAGCTTAATTCAGTCATGGTAGGATGAACAGGTAGGAGGGATGCTCAGGTGGATGCATAGTATGAGCAAGAAACCTCCTTCTCAAACAGTAAATGGAAGGTTTTTCTTCATATGCAATTTGCAAAATTAAACTGACCATGGAATGCCTTCATTTTCTGAGATGAAGAAGATATATGTAGATGATGGAAATAGATACTTTTCAGCCTTGATTTACTTAGATCTGAAAAAAGTTTTAATGATAAAATTATGTCTTTAAATACATAAATCCATAAAAAACACTTTTTCATCAGGTTATATACAAATATTCATATAAAAAAATCACTCAAATGAAACAAGTATTGTATAGGGATTAGGAGGTACATAAAGATTCTCTTCTTCACCTTGTTTTTGAATTCTCCATTAAAAGCAAATTTGTTTTCTGCTTTTCCTTCTGGTACCTTATAAAATCTGAGCCAATTAAGAGTAGCTTCTAGGTAGCCTGGTTTGAACTTCTTAACATCATCAATATCTGTGTGGGAAGAAACATAAAGACATTTTATTAAAAACCAAAATTCACTTTATTAAGTGGTAGAGTACAGAACCAAAGTAGTCAGGAAACAGGGTACCTCATCCAGCTAGCATCATAATCGGTTATGCTAACTGACTGTGTAATGCTGACATACACTATATCACTTTAGACTTGTTTTCCTATGTAAAATACTATTCCTTCAGCCTCCAAACATTTACTGAGCACCTTTAGACAATGTGTTAGATATGGGGAGTCAGTGGATGGATACAACAAATAACTTTTGTCAAGATACTCAGAGGTTTGGCTATGGGAAACAGACATAGACAGCAAACAACAAATTATAATAAAGTACGAGTTTTTCAGAAATATACACAGGAATGGCAGTGTCATACAAGAGGGTGTGAAAGAAAGTGCCATAAAATTGGGAGGAACACCAAGAAGACAAGAGGGAGAAAGGTAGAAGGAACATCAAGCAAGGGAGGATATTTCAGAAATACACAGATGGCTTTACCTGGCTAGGAAATGGTGTTGGGAGGCGGGGGAGGAGAGTGGGAGGAGATACCCAGGAAGGGCCTCTAGCAAAAACATGTATTTTGCTAAGGGATTGCTGGGTTTTATAGGCAATGGAGGGTTTAGCTTAGGGAAAGCCTCAATTTCAGGATGTGTGTTCTAGAAGTATTAGCCTAACAGGATACTGAGCACAGGTGAGGGCAATACCCATAAGAGAATACATTAAAGTTGGATGAGAAGGGTTCCATGCATTTTCCCCAAAATATTTAGTAAGTTCTAATTGTGCATCAGACTCAGCTCCAAGCAGTGAGTTAGAACAGTGAACAAAATCATGCCCCTGATGTCACGGCTTACACAGTAGTAGGAAGAGATAAGACAACAAATAAAAATATATACAATATGTTAAGTGGTGAAAAGTCCCATAAACAAAAATGAAGCAGAGTAAGCAGACAAAATGTGAATGAGGAGACTTTAAACAGGGAAGGATGTGATAATACATAGAAGTTTTTATTCAAATTCTGTAATGATTCTCAGGGTTTCCTTTTAAGTTCTATTCCCACCTAAGTAGCTTAACCATTATATTTTGATGACATCCACTGGAATATAATTTGAAATAAAACTGCTGTATTAATACTAATAAATCCTTCCTCCAAAAAAGGTCTGAGGGAATGCATCTTTTCCAAAAACAATTAAAAAATTTAACAAATAAATACTCTCAACCAGACTATGGCCTAAATAAAATTTAATATAGTCCTTTTGTACACAATATACTGTAGTACATAACAAATAGACCTGATGGCGCTTGAAAAATTAGAATTTCTAACCAGAAATCACGAGACAATACCCACATATGAACATCTTAAAGATTATTTGGTTTCAGACTCAGTCACCCAAGTTTTGTAAGAATCCACATCCTCTAGATTTGGCTGGGAAAAGGTAAGCACTTTGCAGTCATTGGTCAGATGAGAATTATTCTTTTGCCTTTTACATTTGCCTCTTGTCTGTTACACAATGGTTTAACACCTCCAGAGGCCAGATGCTTCACATAAATGAAATGAGTGTGGCATGGCAGACCAGGACAAAGGGAAGACTGAGGATGCTGCCTAAGGCATTCAAACTTAAAATTTAAAAAGACACCAATGACCACACATCTATCTAAGATAATTATGGAACAAAAAGCAGCAATGTTACAATTAACCAAGGGGGAAAAAAGAATCACCTGAAGAACCACATCTGATGATGGAACCATATCTATCAGTCAGAGTCAACACATTTCTTTAACAATCAGTAAGTGATAGGAGATGCATAAGACAGCGAATTTAAATTTTTTTAATATTTATTTTTATTAGCAAATATTCATTGTACAAGAGGGATCTGTTTGACACTTCTGTATAGTTTTACATTGTGCAACAGTGAGATGACGCTCTCTACCAACTCCCTGCCCGCTACTTCCTTCCCTTCCCACTTAACACAATTACAAGAGGTTTCATCATTCTATTTCCTTTATGTATATAAGCCCGCAGACCCTACTCTTTCATCTTCACCTCCTCCATTCATCCCCCCCGACCCACAAGAACACTCCCCACACTGTACCTATTTTACAGTCTTAAGACAGTAAATTCTAAAGATTAAGGTTATCTCCTTAAGGATTCTTCAGTATATCTTGGGCTACAGAGTTCTTTGCCATTCTCAAAATAGAATCTAATAAGGTTAAATAAATCTATTGTTTCCTCTTCAAGTTCTGATTTCCTTCCTGGTTCTTACTGAAAGAGTTTCTAAGGTGGATTTTCTATTGATCACTTTCTTACAACCTACCCCTATTTTTTAAAAAAGCATTCCTGTAATTAATAACTGAGTTTCTTCAACTCAATGCCATTTTTATCTTATTTAGAGGGGGGGAACCACCAGAAATGTACTTAATTAATGCCCAAAATAAGTAATTTTCTATTACTTAAATGTGCTTTACAACTTCATCAGTGTATCTTCCCCAGTCTATCATTCTCTGTCCTACTACATAAACATTGACTCGATTATGTTATTTAACTCATGACTTCGATTACAAAAGGAAAAGCTGGTGGGGTGTAGTGGTACACATCTGTAATCTCAGAAAGCAGAGATAGGAGGATCACAATCTGAAGATGAGAGACCCTATCTGAAAAATAACCTAAAAATGAGGCATAACGATTGAAAGGCCCCAAAAAAGGGGAAAAGTTAATTATCCAAAATCTATTTCATTTCAGTCTAGGAAGCTTTCTCCTCAGAAGTTACAAAGAGGACTATTTATACCAAAATAATTTTAAAAATCAAACATCAACTCTCAAAGTATATTTGAAACCTTGCCATTCTCAATTATTTACATCTTAATTTCTGGTTGTTGGCAGTTCTAAAATGGCTTCATTAAAAAGAATCATAAATTCTGACAAGCAGTGTGCACCACAATTACTTTGTTCCAGAGCTGTTCTCAAATTTGAAAGTTTAAATAAGGATTATAGTCTTTTAAAGACCATTTTAATATTAAAACTATAAAAGATTATTTTTTATAAATGACCATACTTCTATATAAATCCATTGCAAGTTTTGAAACTTTCCATATGAAATGTCAGTTAAAAAGCAAAACCAACAACAACATAGCAACAAATTGTAAAGTTCAATTTGGTATTCCCAAGTCCACATATCTCCATTTAATTTATTTTTAACTAACTTTGATTTATGTTTTAGCAAAAAGAAATTAACTTAAAATGCTTTAGTTAAAACCTACTACTTTGTCTCTACAGATATTAAAGAAATACAACACTTTTTATTTAGGGGTCTTTATTTTTTAACTTATATTTTGAGACCAGGTCTTGGTTGCACAGACTGACCTTGAACTCTTAATCTTTCTGTCTCAGCTTCCCAAGCAGCTGGGATGACAGACATGTGCCCCCATGCCTGGATATTTCCATTTTTACAAAGCAAGTTTTAGGGTGGCAGAGTGACTCAAGTGTTGAGCGCCTGCCTCACAAGTGTCAGGCCCTGAGTTCATACTCCAGTACCACCAAAAAAACCCCAAAACGTTTGTGATAGCTTTTCCTTTCACTGAGGCTATTGTTTCAAATTGCCTTTCAGTATAAACCAATTCACTTGTTTCTATAATCTAACAGAATATCATATATTATAATCAATAAGCAAAGCAAACAAAACAAAGCAAAAATCACAAAAAAGGATTTTAGGAATAAAGTTTTTTCTATTCCTTTTTATCCAAAACTACACTTTCTCACACCACAGAAAATTTCTAATTACATTTGCTTGCTGAGACTAAAATATTACTCAAACTTCACAACTATTACACCAACACTATTTTTGCCAAGCAAACAAACAGTAAATTATATAAATGATTTGAAAATCAAATTGATAAGGTACATTTCATAAACATAGCCCATGAATAATATATATGAAAGGAAAATCTAAAATCTGAGATCTATTTAATCTAGATATACATTAAAGTACAAGTGAACTATAAAAATTGGTACTGACTAAAAACTAAGAAAACTAAACTTTAAACATGAGGAAATTAGGACAACATTCCTTTTTTAATTTTTTTATTTTACTTCTTTTGGATTATCATCATTAATAATACAAGGGGATTTCATTGTAGGACAATGTTCTTAAGTACAATAACCTGGAGGTCAATAATAAATAATTTCAAATAACTCTCTCTTGCCTATCAAAAAAGAACTATACTTAGTATGCCTCTTTTTTTTTTACTTAACTAAAAATGGGATATTAAAAAAAAACAAAAAAAATGAAAATAATTTTGTGGTCCAATAGAAAGTCATAACTTAGCTGGAAGTGAGACTCAAGTGGTAGAGCACCTGCCTAGCAAGTGCAAGGCCTTGCTAGTACTGCAGTGCTGCCAAAGGCAAGAGAGAGAGAAACTCAATCAAAACTAGGAATATTCAGAAAATGAGGGTAATGAGAACACTCAGAAAGATGATAAGAACAACTAGCACAAACTAGGAAAAACAAGTGTTTTTCCAGACAGCATGAAGTTCAAATTCCAGTTCTGTAGTCATATATTGTGCCATGTTGGGAAATTATACTGTCTCTTCAAATCTAAAATGGAGGAGAAAAATTAAACTTGTCACGATTAATATATAAAAGTCATCTAATAAAATAATTCTTAGCAAATATGAATTATCATCTCTCCAGTCTCCTAAAACTTTGTTCATGGATGCAGCCACAGATATACTCAGAGGAAAACCTATGGCCTCACATGCTTTTACCTTTAAAAATATATAACTTCACTCACTAACATTAACAGTCATTTCATTTGGTTTTTTTTTTTTTTTTTTTTGGTGGTACTGCGGTTTGAACTCAGGGCCTCATGCTAGCTAGGCAGGCACTCTACCACTTGAGCCACTCCGTCAGTCCTTTTTTGTGTTGGATATTTTTGAGATAGGGTCTCACAAACTATTTGTCTGGGCTGGCATCAAACCATGATCCTCTTGATC